GAGTACTGCGGTCTTCGCGTGCTTCGTCGATCTCACCAAGGCGTACGATTCGGTGGACCGAGATCTGCTGTGGGACGTGCTCGGACGCTTTGGCGTGCCCCCGAAGATGCTGGCGGTCATTCGCCACTTCCACGAGGGCATGAGGGCGCGGGTTCGAACGGACGACGGGCAGTACTCGGAATGGTTTGACGTCGGCCAAGGTCTCCGACAGGGGTGCAACCTGGCCCCGCTGCTGTTCAACTTGTTCGTATTTTTCGTGGGAAAATGAGCCTCTATTTCTTGCAAAAATATTTCTGAATTGCGGGCGCTCACTGTAGGGACAGACATGGTGGCGAAGCGAAGGTGTCTTGTCATGAAGATGACGGTATGTGAAAAGATGAGGAGGGAATCGTGCTGCACAGACAAACATGGGAGATTTTGTACCCTTTATGAAGGTGATCTCCACAAGAAAACTTGGAAACGACAGTTCGCGTGTGGTTTTCACTCGTGCAGACTCCAAACAAGCAGAACAAGAGGGTGTGTACCTTTGTACTTAATTAAGTTGATTGAATGCACCCAAAATAAACAAACAAGGAAAGCGCACGCACGTGCATTAATTTTGCTTGACTGCCTTTCGACGAGGAGGAGAGTCGGAGCGCATGGTTCCGAGGCTCACAACAACTGAAGAGAGAGGTCTATGCTGAGAGCAAACAGAAATGGTGCAAAAGCCTTCGACTACAAACAGGGTGCACGTGGCCACCAACAAACTGATGGATCGGAGGGCCACAAATAACAAGACAAGGGCCAGACAAACTCACAATCACAGGGAAACGGCATACGCAGCAATACGTCAGTGATATCTGCTCCTACAAAGCATCTCAACCTGTGAACTGAAAATTACCATTGATTGGCAAAACAAGCATACACGATGGCAATATCCATATACCATTTGAAACGTCAAAGGTGCCATCTGCCGTACGTACAAGTGGTGTTTCGCGGCATAGGTCAGGTACACGAATCTTTCTGCTCGCGACACTTGTTGCACACACCCCCCCTGGAATCACAGGAGAGATCATTAGACTATTATTTTTGAGACCGCTTTCCTTGGACTTCAGCCGACAAAACGCACTTCGCCGTTTGTTGTGTCTCAACGACAAACTAGACCCCCCCTCACAGCAAGCAAACGAACCAAACTACGCGCGCGCGGGATGCATGCTATATCAAGATCGAGCGGTGTTCATCAGACGGGCAACTGCACTACTACGCACTCTTCGCAGCTAGCGCTGCAGCTTCTGGGGCACGACCAGATCGCAACCACTCCCCAATCCATCCCCAGCGTTCTCAACCGCTCGCGCTCTTCGACGCTGGGGGTGGGCATCATCGTGGTTTCGTTTCCTTCGTCCTCTTCGCCACTTACACCCATCCCCGCCATTGCTCCGCTTCCATCTCCTGGTGCGACTCCGTGCTCGTCGGTTGACCGCGTTAATGCAGCATCCTTCGGCTGAACCGCCACAGCCGAGGGAGTTTTTGACTTCAAAGTGTTTTTGTTGTCATGGCCGTCAGCTTCCTGCGAAAGCGTGGAGATCTTCTTTGATTCAAGACCAGAAAAAGTAGCGGGACTGCCCCCCTCTCGGCTTCCTGTTTCTCGTTCGGCGAGGTCGTTCACTTGCAGCTGCAACAACAGGGCCGGCATGAGCTGCATCTCGAACACCCGGGTGGCACCTGGGAAGGCGTACGGTGGTCACATTTACATCGTTGTCGTGGCAGGGGACGCCGCGAATATGTAGGCGTGTGATCAGCGCGAGTTCCAATCTTTAGTCGACAACGTAAAGGAATGCCGGTTGCCCCTCGAATACCGCAACAAAAAACACCGAAAAAGAAAATCTACTGATGCTGTACGTCATGCTCAGAGCGTGCGCATGCTCGCGACGGACGGTCTGTCCGATCTACATGTGAGCAACGGACATAGGCACGTCTCGGACGAGAACAGATCAGCAGGCTGTGCGGCATCCAACTCGCTACCTTGTTTCAGGATCGACTTGCAATTCGCACTATCGTGAGACTAGCCACGAGGTCGTACTGGTGCAACGGCATTCAAGGCAAAACGAAGGACCCAGAAATCATAAAGATTTGGTACCTTACAAGCTTGATTTCGAACAGCGAGCTGGTTAACTAGAATGCCGCACTCACCGCAGGCACACGGGGGTATCTCTTCACCAGGCGGATCGGAAGCGGACCAGAGGGGTTCTCCTCCGTACGCATAGCGTACTACTTGCTGGGGGGAACGGGCGACCCGATCGGCGAACCGCATGACGGCCTTTGCCCTGAGAAACGTAAGATTTGCAAAGAAAAAGAGAATGTGTTTTGTACATAATGAGGTCGAGTCCATACAGATTTAAATACCCAGCTCTGGAATGCGCAAAAGAGATGGACGAGGGATCTCTTGCCAATAGTCTTCGCAAGACTATTTTAAGTAGTAAAACATACTGGATACAGTACATAAATTACTAAGTCGGGGCGGGGGTAAGGGTTAGGGCCTGCGTGCCCCACGCCCGGTCTTTGTTTGTTAAAATTAATAAAATTCCATTGCTTGCGTAGACAGTCCGCTCTTGACATCGACACCAACCGAGCGCGGCCCTCCGCCAAAAACTTTCAGACGGACAGGTGTGTGACATTAACAGCACGATGTACAACGCACAATTTCATCAAGCACACAACCGTAAACCCTTCCACCAGTCAAGTACCCCGTATCACCTCCGGCACGCGGCAAGCTTCTCACCTCGCAGGCGTACGCTCATACTTCTCCCCAACACTGGCCACCCCTTTCCCCTCCTTTCCTCCGTGTTCACTGCGGAGCCCCCCAGCATCCATCAGGCCAAGGGCATGATCAAGCGCCGCGACAAGCCCGCGGTCCTCCTCTTGCTCCCTATACCGCCGGAGTCGATTCTCCATGTCCTTGTCGTCTGCTCGGGAACTTTCTGCTCCCCACGGCTCGGGGACAAAGCTGACAGTCTTTGCTGGGAACCAAGGCCGCCCTCCCCAGTCCCCGCCTTCTGCCGCGACGTTGTCTGATTTGGAACTCTCCGCTGCGCTCTTCTGTTGGCTGCCGCTGCCAATACTGCTGTGGTTAGGTGCTAACTCTGCTAAAGAGCTGTATGTGTCGTCACCCGTTGAAGGTTTTTCTGCTGCTGCTGCTGCTGCTGATGCCCGGTCTCCTAGGCAAGTCGACGACTGCTTCTTCTCTTGTTTGTCGAGCAAGGCATCGATGTCCGCCGTTGCAATACCCCCAACGTCTTCGGTGTCAACTCCCGCCCCCCAATCGCTCGTCTCGGCACCCCACCCATCGCCGTCGGAAGTGGGGGCGTCCCACGACACGTCGCTTGCTCCCCATGGATCCGTCGCGTGCGCTGCTGGCTGCGTTGAAGTCGGAAGCGTCGGTGGTGCCACATTCGTCGTGCCTGCAACAGCGCTCACCGTTGGTACGGCAGTGGGGTCGCTGTCGTCTTGTGCGGGCTCGACAGGCTGTGGAGCTTGTGTGCGTATCGCCCGCCACCCTTCGGGTCGCTGGGAGCACGCCGCCCGGTTGCACCCGAAGAGGCACAGTGACCTCTCCACATGGGTCGGAGCATAGATCTGTCCGGCCGCGGCAGGCAGGGCAGGGCGCGCGCGATCACCAAACGCCGATCGGTCTTTGGTCCAACAAACGGCTGTTTTCGTGTTACCCTTGCCAGCTGAATTTCACTGCTGTTGCGTTTCGTGATGTTGGAATCCGTACCGAATGGGGTTCATGTGTGTATGCGCTAATTGTTTCACACGGAGGGCTTACTTACAGTGGTGGGAACACAGGGACATTGCTGATCTGTTGGGGTGAGCGAGGACGAACGTGGCGTTCTTATTCCGGTGCAGGGAAAATGCTGGGTTGATCGAAACAACCAACCGCAGCAAACCAGCGGGCTCTTGCTGACGGCATCGAAGCGGTGGCAGCGAATCATCAAATCATGGGTATGCGCAAACCGCCCGCCCGCCCACCTCTGAACAGAGCGCACTTGGTGATGATACCAACCCCTCACCTGTGTGACGAGATACAACCATCTACCACAGAGGCCGCACACGAGGTCGCCAACTTTGACAGGAGCCTCTCCGAACCATGCCTGGAGAAGGAGAGCAGGACGACGGTACAGGACGACGGGAAAGTTACCGGCAGCATTGATCGGTGTCTAGTGTAAGGTGACACTTCATCGTCAACAACCAAGACCGCAATATGTTCGGCAGGCACGCAGTACATCGCGGGGGTAATTGCGTGGGAACACACGGCACAACCACGAGGCCAAGTAGAGGTCAATAATGTTGAAAGTGCTCGTCAACTGCTGTACTTGTCAAGACCGGCTCTATTTACTGCATTGGGTTTGATGCGGTATTGTCAGGTGAAAACAGCTTGGGCCTCTGTGTTTGGATAATTATTCACTCTGTGTTTTTTCCCTCAAGCCTCAGCCACATACGTCCACCACAGCGTACCACAGCTGCTGCCGCTGCTAGCTAATACAACAATACAGCAGTGTGGCCTCTGAAGGTCAAGTTGGTCCACTGCTTTCAGCCGCATCACCCACCGGCCAACCTCCGGCTTTGCTCTTGTCCGGCTGCGAGGCTTTGGAGACAGAAAGCGCCTTACCCACGTGCCCCAGCTCTACGAAGACTTCTCCATCCTCGCCAGCGTACATGCTGCTGCACCAAGCACCGAGAGCCAGGAGCCCAGGTTGCCTGTTGTCCTGGACATGTCCGGTGCGGCGCGATTGTGCGGCGCATGGGGGGGCTACATGGAGTGTACGACACCTGCATACCTCGCGCGCAAAGCTGCGCGTCTACAGACAGATCCGTGCCTGTGCCAGCAGCCAGCAGCCCATGCCGTTCAAACTTGAGCAGTGAGACCATCTTCTATGCCAGACACATCTCAACAACACCCGCAAGAAAAGAAACCAGCTCTCGTGATTCAATCTGAGTCGGTTGTGACGACGTGCGACGCAGCCCGCGGCTTTCGCCTACAGAGCGAGAGAAGCTGGAAGTGATAGCAGCAGGACTGCTCAACGCCGCAGACTGCAGACCGATCTACGATGGCCAGCCTGGCAAAGCCAATGGGCGCTGGTGACACCAAGAAGGTCCGCCGGATGCGCAAGAAGCTGGAGGGTAAAGCCACAGGAGGTTCCATCAGCACCGCCGCGCTCCTGAAGCAGTGTAGAGACACTGGCGTCCACGTGAGGCCGTTGTTGACCCCTCACCTCGAGCGGCACGGGCGTCAACCCACCCTCTCCGCCAAGGAGGCCAGGCAGTTCGTTCTCCACTGCGCCAGCGGATCCCCGGCGCCGAGGGTAGCCGAAATGCGCAACCTCCCTGCTGTTCGTGCAGTGCTGGTTGTCGCGCTGACTGGCGCGGCCACCTCCGCCCCACCACAACGGAAGGCCGACGGCGAAGTCAGCGCCATCGATGCGGCCAAAAACCTGACAGTCCCGCCATCAGCAGCAACAGCAGCCGCCGTAGCGCCAAACAGCCCCCTGGACGGTTTCACAGAGGCGTTCAAGCGAAAGTTTCGGCTGTGCGCGGGGCTTCGGATAAGCAGTGGCGGCTTCAGCGTGGGGCCGGCCGATGGGGGTGCTGCTATTCCAAGTGACGGCGGCGACTCGGCCAGCACAGGCGGCGGCGGCGGCGGCGGCGGCGGCGGCGGCGGTGGTTGGCTCAAGTCCTTGGCCGATGCGTTTCTCTACGCACCTCTCGGTGAGGATAGAGAGGCGTGTCCTGCCGGGCCTTTCTCCGGCAGCAAGAAGCGAAAGAACGCCGGGGGCGGTGGTGGGCGAAAGAAAAAGACAAAGGGCGATGCGAAGCGAAGGCGGAGGGACGCCGAGAATGCACGGCAGCAACGCAGCATGGTGAGCGGCGCCGCCGAGGCGATCGTCCCGCAAGTGAACGGGCCGGGCATCGCCGATGGTAATAGCCAACGGAAGGGGGTGGAAGAGAAAGGCACACAAGGAGGTGATGTGGATGATAGTTTAGCAGCGGCTCCCTCCGGCGGGAAGAGTGAGGGCGTGCAGGAACCAACGGTGACAGCAATGGACACAGCCGCGGAAGCAGAGGATGGCGACAGAGCAGAAGAATCTCATGAGGACAACGAGGAGGTGGCCTCAAGTGTCGACGAGGAGGACGATGGAGTAGAAGGAGAGGGCAGCGACGAACCCCAACTCCCAGCAGTAGAGACCTACATCTTATCCGTCGAGGAGCTCAGGGAACACGGGTTCCCGGTATCCTACCCCACGGAGAAGGAGGAGGAGGTCAACCCCACTCCCCTTGACAGGGTCAGCGGTAAAGTTGTCCTCCCGACAAAGGAAGAGGCCGAGTGTATCGTAGGCAGGGCCTCGAAACTGGTAGACCTGGAGGGGCACGTGCAGACACAGCCGTTGTCGGACGCCGGGGCGGCGGAGGAAGGAGAAGCGGCGGAGGGGGCGAGGTTGTTCGGGTTGGACTGCGAGATGTGCGTGACGGGGGCTGGGCAGGAGTTAACGCGGGTCACGCTGGTGGATGCCCAGCACAAGGTAGTGCTTGACGAGCTCGTCAAGCCGGAAAACCACATCATCGACTACGTTACAAGGTGGGGATATTGGAGCGCGCGCGTAAACTACGTATGCGGCCGGCACTCCTCTGCGACGCATTTTTGTTTTAAAGAAAACACGGTTTCCCCTCTATTTTTTCACCCTGTGTTGGCACTTTGCGTTTGCCTTGATCCAAATACCCTGATTTCGCTTCAAACCAGTCTTGCGTGTGCCCCCACACGTACGCAGCAGCAGCGTGCCTCCCCTCTACTGTTTCAGGTTTTCGACGCATGGTGACGACGACACGTGATTGTTTCCCCGTGCGGTGGCCGCCTCTTCGCTCACCAGATATAGCGGTATCACCCCCCAGCTCCTGGAAAACGTGGACACAAGGCTGCGGCAGGTACAGGCGGCGGTGCTGCGGGTGGTTGGAGCCGGAGACGTCTTGGTGGGGCACTCCCTGGAGAACGACCTGAAGGCCCTCAAGATGGTGCACCTCCGGTGCCTCGACACCTCCCTGCTGTACCCACACCCCAAGAAAGGCCGACGCTCGTCGCTACGCTACCTTGTTTCCATGTGAGTCTCGGTTTCCATGATGGTCGAGAAATGTTCTTGGATGGTCGCGATGTTTTGCATTTTCAAGGTTGATTTGGAACGATGCTTCGCGAGCGTCTGCCACACGCAATTGTGAGCTCGACGAGTTTTGGCATTCGTTGGCCGGGAATAATGTGCGCAGAATAGTTGCCGTCAACGGTGTCTGCGGACATGTGCGGTTCGAAAGGGCACCGCGTGTTCTTGATGTGCGTTGATGTAGTGAAGATACTAGCACGGTTTGGCCGATATCAACTGCCGAAGTCTGTGTTCGTCGGCGCGATATATGTGGAGTTTGGGGTGGACGCTAGAACGTCCACGCTCCAAAGCAGCGGGAAGCAGCTCATTCACTTTTGTGCACACGTGGTAGGTGGTAAATGAGGCGTCATGGGGGTCACGCTACTACTTCCGCAATCGGAACAGGTTTTGCACGGAACGGGAAGCTAGGCATGAATTTTGTCTGTAGGTAGTTGGTTTCGGAAGTCCTCGTCCCCGCTTCTCCTTCTTGTACATGGAAACCCAACAAAACGGTTTGCGCGGTGCCGGCGCCCCGACAAGTCGCATTTCATCTTCTAACGCTACTCTGGTGGTCGTGATGCCAGGTACCTGCAGCGAACAATCCAAGGTTCTGATAAGGGGCACAACAGCGCCGAAGACGCCATCGCCGCTCTGGAGCTTGCCCAGCTCAAGGTGTCCAGAGGGCCAAACTTCGGCGCAGAGAGGAGCACCGACAGCATTTTCGATAGACTTCAAAGGTGGGACGTCGTCATTTGTAGAGTCATTGATGGCGACATCCTTTGCGGAAGCGAGTTCCAAGAAAGCGCCGACCGCAGCCAGCTGCCCGAGCGGATGTATCACCATTGCCGTGTATCGCTTTGAAGTCGCCGCTATTTTTTGTTATTTTCGTACATCTCGGAGTGCACCTCCTTCCTTTTTATGAGGGACACGCGCTCGCACAAACTCGTGCACGGAATCGTGCCAAGTACTCGGACAAGCAGTGCAACGTGTATCGCTTAATCGAAGTCCGACACTCCATAAAGCTTTTTTCGTTTTTCGACCTACTTTCCTCGTTTTTGGATTTTTGTCAGGTCCCATAAACTCCCTTTGAAGCGCTGATTTCCGACAACTTCCACTGAACCCCATCCAGGAATCACGTGCCAGCGACCATGGTGGCCGCGAGTGAACAGTGCCGACGGCATATCTCGGGAAGTGCGTCCACGGTTTCGTCCTTTTCGGATGACGGGGTCGTGCAGAGCGTCTTGAAGGAGATCAAAAGGGCCGGGGTGATGCGCCAACGGACGGGAACAAAGGCGCCCCTGGTGAGCATTTCACATCTACGGAGGGTGCAGGCCCTTGTGATAGCCACGCGGCGTAGAGGCTGCTCGTTCGTGCCTGTGGCTAAAGCTGGCGTGTTTCCCTGAACGGTCCCCTGCTTGCTTGTCCTGCTTTTGAGGGCGAGGGTGGTATGTCGCCGACAGAGTTTCTTGTTTTCGGCAATGCTATCTTCTACTGGTGTCTTCTTCGTTGTTTTGGCGAGCTGTGGGCTTGCCGCTGATAGGTTCGTTAAGTGCATCCAATCGAGCGTCGAGCGGCCTCACCAGTTACTCGCGTGTGGCGCGTAGGGTGTCGATGCCGGTCTGTTCCGTCGAAGTGACCTTTTCGACGCTGAGTTGAAGGGTAAATCGCAAATGGGGCAGACAGCGATGCATCCGCGACGTAGCAACGAAGCGTTGGCTGTTTGTCATTTTTTATCTGTAGCGAACCTCCCCCAGCAAAACTTGATCGCAGAACTGTTATCCCAGGCAATATTAACAGCTACATACGTTCGTTCGACAGAGACCACCAAATCCTCTGCTCTGCCCGCCACCCTCCGTATCCCGTCCGCCCACAGCGACGTTTTCTACTGATCGCCATTGTTCGTGAATCCCCCCCGCCCCCGCCCCCGATACTTCCTGGGGTACATAGGTGTGGGCAGAGCTAGAGGGACCCAAGTGCCCCACTGTAAAAGACGTCTGCGCAGCCGCGACGCGGGGATCGGCGGGCGTCCAAACGTTCCTGGCTGGCATGGACGAAGCCGGGCGGGCTGCGGGTCACGAGGAACGGATAGGCCGTCTTTTGGACGAACTCCCCTCCGGGGTAGTGGTGCTCGTTGCCTCTCAGGGGGTAAACCCGGAGTTGCCGCGGAAGCTGGACAAGCAGAGGAAGGCATGCGAGGATCGCCGGTGCGCGTCAACGTGGAGCGCCGGGCAGGGGCGGCTGTTGGAAGCGCTGGAGGGTCGGGCGCGGGATGGCTGTGTTTTCGCTGCCGTCACTTAAATTTTCGGAGCCGAGATGTCGTACGTGCACGCGTGTTTGGTGTGAGTAACTCCCTCGGCAGAATCGCTTTGGAGTGTGGGGGGTCATGAACGAGTCACACCGCATATTGACTGTCGGGAGATTGTGCCTGGCCGCTATACCGCCAGAAATCACCTGTGAGGCTGCTTCTGTTCCCCGCGGCTGCAATACTGTAAGCGGCGTGTGCATATAACGAGGCTTGTGGTGTGGGAAGATTCTGTACACTCGGGAGCAGGCTCCAACATGGCGCTAGGTGTTATTTTTCACGCTCACGTTTTTGATCATTCGAGAATAAAGCGGAGGGAGGATGTTGGAGATGTGGATAACCGTCGAAGTGATACCAATCCATTTTAATGAAGGAAGGTGTTAGACGTGGCTTACATGTCTCATCCAACCGCTTAAGATGCAGCCCATCCATGACACGCTGGGCTTTACCACGGGAACGACGGGGTTCACTATTCACTAGTGTTTGGGAAGTTTGTCGCGGTGCAGCGAATAATTCTTCAAACGTACAAAGGAGTACATACTAGAGAGCACCGGTAGGGAGTGTGCGAGTGTGAGAGCAATTTCGTCCCACTCAAGAGGAATCCTGCCGATTCGATATTTCCTTGACGTCAAGTGTCGTTCGATTCGCTCAGGAGGTTTTCATGTCACATGGGCCTACGGTCGTTGCGTCGCTCAGCAACGAAGTCATCCAAGTACCCGCTCACATTTGCGTCCATGTCACTCATACGAGCGTGCGAAGGAGTTCATGTGGCAGCAAAGACGCTCGCACATGCGACGCAATCGAAGAGCTCGTGCACGAAAACGACAGTTGCGATGCTCTATTCATAGGTTGTTCCGCCGAAGTCGTGCTAAGGATGCCTACAGTACCCGCCGCCCTCAAAACAACCAGCTACCAGTAGGGGCCATGTGAAACCGCCCACGGCCACCGTGCCCAACGTGTGTCCCGTGTTTTCTGGACGTGACAGTTACACACCAATCGGCATGTTTTTGGAACGCGTTAGCAGGGGTCACACAGACCAAAAAACACACACAGCAAACGGTCACACAATTGAACCCTACTGATGAAAAGGATTGTTTTGTGTCATGGGAGTGGGGGGAAAGTCACACCCTTTGATGGAAAAGAGTCGTTCAATTTCACGCCGCAGCAAGACATTCTAACACACTTGCTCTGGTACAGGAGCATAGCACAAGCACAGTTTGCCTTCTCTCACCCAAAACGCACCAAAAGCACAATATCCACCGAACTTATTGCCGCCTCGTCGTTCACGAGCGAGCAACATCCCAACTCGCATCGAAAACAGGGCAACGCCTGATTCAGCCGCCGCCTCAGCCAGATTTCTTACTAAAGCGGAAATATCCTGCCGACCAGTGAGGTAGGATACGACAGTTGTACAACGCTTGGTCGGATAGTCCGGCAACTGAAAAATCGACCTGGTGGTTTCCATCCACACTTGGTTCCAACCCAGTCATCCACACATAAGACACCACAGAGCAACAAAAATTTACCATGATACCGCGGTTGTCAGTCAGCACCAATATTCTCGCACCCCATTGAGCGGGATACGTTTTTGGGCCGCCTCTTTAGAGGCTGAAATGGCGCAAACGGCATCAATATACATGTCCGTGTCCTACATATTGCGCAACATCCGAATACAAACGAGAGACACGATCCCCGCAACCGAGAGTTGGGTCACTCAGCGCAAGATGGGTGCCAAGTGTCAAGTCCCTCAAGAAAACCAACATCCCAAAGACGCAAAGGATAACTAGTAACACAACACCTATCAGGACCATCATTTCAATCGAACGGAAGCAGGCTCCCAAATTGCACGCACTACGTCATCAGCAGTGCTTCTTGTTGGTGTAAATTGACTGCGCTTCCAGCTTCCCCAACTTGCCCCCGTTGAACACATACGGATCTCTGTCGAAGTACAGGCGCGAGAGGTAAAGCGTGAAGGCCACCAACGCGGCTCCCATGGCCCCGAGTACGATCAGCGGCAAGTGCGAATCGGGTTCCGCTCCGGAGCACTCCAAGATCTTATCACGAGCCGCAGTTGCGATCCCCTCCGCGAAAGCCATGAAACCGCTAGTTTCCCCGCCAGTCGATGCGTTGACTCCATGCAAGCCTGCCCGGGTTCCGATCAAATGTTTGGGAAGTGATGACACGGGGATTATGGTGCACAGGTGACCGAGTCTTTTATGTACCGATCGCCGTGTTGCTTTCGGATCAATGCACCCCGACCAGCGTTGTAAGCAGAGTCAAATACTTGCATCGCTAACTACAAGAGCTGTTTACAATTGGCGTGTACGAAAGGGAGGGAGGGATGGAAGGAGAGAGAGCGAGGCTTGAGTGATGGAACCAGAGCACGCTTTTTAGGTGCATTGGTATGCAGCATCAAAAATTTTTGCTGCAGACTATCGCTGTGACTTCGAAATTGAAAGCGTACTGTCACTAACTGCCTCACACAGCTCAGCACCGACCCTTGGCAATCAGCACCAGCTGCTGGACTCACCCGCGAGGAATGTGGTGATGAGGCAAGCTACCATCACCGCGGCGGATTCACATCGTCGTGCCATCGTGGTTGTTATCCTCCGCTTCTTGATCGATCACGTCAAAATGGCAGCCCCTCGTCACGTCAACGCAAAGCCACCTGATGCTAGGCAGAGCACGAAGCAGGGACGGCGAGAAGAAACCGGCGTGTTTCCGGGTGTTCTAGGTGCGAGGCTAGGAAGATAGGGTGCAGGAGAGAGGACAGAGAGGTGCTTGCGTGCATTGCACGGATGAGAAGGTGCAGGCAGGAGGAGAGCAGACGAGCAGACCAGGAAGAAAAAATCCCTGATGATGGGGGGGGGTTGGAAATGACAGTCCCGGCCAAGTCGCACTGACTGCTGTACAACATAGGGGTCGGCTACAGCATCACATGATCACAGAGGAGGTGTAGGGAGAGCCACCTATGAACTCGCGTTCCCTCTTTGAACGCTCGGTGGCATCCTTTGCTTCCTTCTCAAGGGCGCCTCACCCAGCGTGGCTCACAACAACACCCGGCAGCAGCAGCAGCAGCAGCAGCAGCTTCAACAAGAAACTCGACAACGCACTCCCCCTTCCCAGCAAGGCCGCGCTCGCGTTTCAAGCACAACCTCGCCCTCTAGCCCTCTATTCGCTCCCTCTTGGCCCTTCCAGACGAATCAGCACTACGCGCAGAGCCATGTCGGAGGCAGAGTTAAAATCGGAGCCAAATGCGACCGGTGCATCACCCATCGCTGTCAACTTGGAAGCCGTCCGCAAGCGAGTTGAGGAGGTTGCAGGCGAGGCTGAGGCAGGCAAGCCCGTCCCACGCTTGGTCGCCGTCAGCAAGACAAAGCCTTTGGAGAACCTCCAAGACGCTTACGACGCAGGGCAGCGGGTTTTCGGAGAAAACTACGTGAGGAGTTGCGTCCAGGGATTTGAGAGGTTGCCTGTGTGTTGCTATTCAGAGTTTGGCAGAAATCCGGACAACATGAACGAAACATGCCGCACGTCGGACGCATGCACGAGCAACGAATTCTCCACTCTCATATGCATAAGAGATACCTCCAGTACAGGGCCATGCAGGTTGTAGACGCAGGCGTGTATCCACCACGAACCACTACGATTGTCACTCCTCCTCTCGTTCACCCCCTTTGAAACACTCTTACTTTCAGGCCCAAGAGTTGATCGACAAGTCGCCGCAAATGCCGGACGACGTCGTCTGGCACTTCATCGGACACCTGCAGTCCAACAAGGCCAAGGCTCTAGTGGCAGGGGTGCCCAACCTCGCTGTCCTAGAGACACTCGACACTGTGAAGCTCGCCAACAAGTTACAGGTTGGCTGCGTGTGGGATTGGCGGGAATATGTGCGGGCTGGGGCGAAGGAGCGAATCGCGCTCATGTTACCTACTCGAAGTCTTAATAGAGGGTTGTTGTGCATGAAATCAGGTGCCAGAGAATTGAAACTGTTCCTGCTGCTCAAGTCTCAAGTACTCCGAGAGTTGGGGTACCTCCTCGGGAACGATGCTCCTCTCGCGCAAAAGCGCACCGGAAAACTCGAGCTTGACAGGGGTCCAAACGTTTTGTCCTTTTGAGCATGGGTTGCACTCCTGTGGAAGACGTCTGAATCGCAACCTTTCCCGCCCACCAATAAACTTTTCAACCCTCTTCTCTTCCCCCCAAACCCACCCCACCAATCCACAGTCGGCATGCGTTTCGTCGGAAAGAAAGCTACCGCTCGGCGTGTACCTCCAGATCGATACCAGCGGGGAGGACTCCAAAGCAGGCATCTACCACTCCGACCTCGATGCGTGTCTATCCCTGGCGCGACACCTCAAGGACAATTGCCCGGCGCTCGAGCTGAAGGGGCTCATGACCATCGGGGCGCCGGGGGACATGGAGTGCTTTGATAGGCTAAGCGCCTGTCGCGACGCGGTGGCTGGTGGGTTGGGGATGGAGGCGCAAGCTTTGGAGCTCAGCATGGGCATGTCGGGCGACTACGAGGAGGCGATTCGAAGGGGCAGTACCAATGTACGCGTAGGGAGCACGATCTTTGGGGCTAGATTTTACCCGAACAAGGCTTGAGGCCGCTGGAGATGGATATTGCCACGCTGCAGAGAGCGGTTCGAGCAGTGAGCCTAAATAAACGGTTCTGGTTTATTGTTTTGTTTGTGACGTTGGACCTTATCATGGAGAAAGAGACGGACTGCCCAACGGCAGGCATGTTGCGATAGCTCCCGGTACCAGGTGTGCGCGTGTACGTATGGCGCTCATAGAGTCGAAACGTTGGCGATCACATTAGGTTGCGGATCCGGCCATTGGCTTGTTTCGTGTTGATCCATTTTGACCCATCGGTGGGCGGCGAAGCTTTTGCGTACTCCCTATCGCGTAGAGCGGTATCCTGCCGGCTCGTGCGAGATATGGTTGAGGAACTCCTACTGTAGAATGGCCCGGTGAGACTTGGTTGTTCTAATTAGCATCAAACTCGTTCCTATGTCCTCACGCACCCCGTCCGTGCCTACAAAGATGGGAGGAGTCACTCCCTGGAGGCACTAGTTTGTTAGTAGTTGTCGAAGTCTTCGTCGTCATCGTCCCCTAATATTGCGCAAGCGGCTGGAGAAGCTGTGGGCACCATCCCCCCTAACAAAGCTTGTCGTCGGCCCTCCTCGTCAAGCCCCGCCAGCGCCAACAAATTACTCCCTACTCCTGCCGTCGAGGAAATTGCGCCACCTGATTCGATAGGATCCGACTCGCCATCCATCCGACTCGCTGCCCCATCCGCAGACTCCAAGTCCCTTCGCTCCTTGCCTTTCTTTTCCCCCCCGACGGCTTTTGCTCCTGCTCGAGCGGAGGTGGCGCCGCCTTTCCGTGTCCGTTTTGCCCCACCGGCACCGAGAGATCCACCAATATCTTGTGCTGGGCTAAGCACCGGTCGCAAGAAGTCGAATCGTTCTTCCTCGGCTACAGCTTGCCGCCTGTACCGACACCACGGACCCAGATATGGGGAGAGCGGCAGGGCGGGCGTACTCGAATGTTACTTGCCTTCGTTGTTAGACCATTGGACACGCGTCCTCGAACGGACAAGCATTCTCCCCACAAGACCAGTCACAGATAAGACAAATCGTTCGTTCCTGCAGTAGTTCGCCGAAGGTGGCTCAAAATGTTTCTCTCATAGTATCTTGTCGATATCACTTCCCGCCCAGCGGCAGGGGGGGGGTTTCGAACGAACTTGCCACGATGCCAGGTACCGTAAGTTTGCGAGTCACCGCACGGTCCGGAATCATCGCACGGTCCGGAATCATCGCCCGGTCCAGAGTCATCGCACAGGAGTGCGATGCAAATAAAATCGCTAAATGATTTGATTCGGATTCCGCACAGGGTCCGGAGTCATCGCACAGAGTGCGGTGACCCGCAACCTTAAGGTATCCACGTGACATCGAGAGGTATGTACAACCGTAAGACAGATTCCTCACAAGGTATACCTTGCCGCGGTGCGTACAAACAACACCAACGATCCCCAGTACGCATGCGAGAATCGCGTTCGAGAAACCCGTAGCACCATTCTTGTATGGTGGACCAATATTGGGCACATAGCTACGGAGACTGCCGTCTGTAAGATGTGGGAGAAAATGATTTTCTGGTTGGTTTCCTCGGTCTATCTTGAGCTGTTGGAGACCCAACTTGCGGTCGGAATTTCGCGACGGATGATTGTGGTGGTGTGCGCCGCTCTTGCGTGGTGTACTCCACCAACCCCACCTTCCACCGATTTGGCAGCGAGAAGTACAAGAGTTGACCAACTATCTCGGCATGCCGTGGCCAGTTGCTGTTGCTCCGTACAACCACGAACTTAGTTCGTCCGAATTCTCAACCATACAGTTGTACTCACACGTCTTCCGGAAGAACCTGCTGGGGGACAGATTTCGACGCATCCGGGCATTTCCTAACTTGTTTGTTGGGCTCGCGGTGCCCCGCTGCCCTCGCCCTATTAACAGAGGCCTCGACCAGATCAGCCAGGAAAGCGTCGGTGCATCTAGCTGTTGCCCGCTCGGAAGCCAACAAGCACGCCGCGTGCACGAAAGAGAAGAGTCAAGAGTTGAACGGACTTTCAATAATGATGGGTTTAGAGCGACAGCAGAGTGTGGAGCGCTGGGTGAAGCCGGCCAGGCTGTTGCTCTGACAAGCGAGGATACGTGTATCGCACTGTACCATCAAAGCTCTGGTTCAGCAGACAGGTGCAGCAGTACCGGCCGGCGCGACAGGCTCAAAATCTCCCAAATAAGATAAAAAGTGCAACAGCCCTTCGGTGGATCATGCAGTACATCAGTGGTAGTTTGCAGTCTATGCTCGTCGTTGGCGACGAAATGATGAGAAACTGGCGTTTGCCGGCCGGTATTGCTACGCGGCTACTGCTGGTGGCCTACTACTGATGTTGGAAAAGCGGATCGGGAACATCTACCACTCACGACCGTGTTCAGCATTAACAAAAAACACCACCAAAAAAGGACGCTTAATATGCGAACAGCCCTAGTGGAACACCAACGGGCATGGAGCAACAGCAGCATCAGCGTGGTCCTAGGTTACAGAGAGTCAGCGCGGCACCCGCTCGTTCTCACCTATCATGCACGTTGCTTGCACTGACATCTTGCCGATGGACTCGTCGTTCTGCGCTACAGCTTTCACCCTCGACTGTCAAGCGCAACAGGAAACAGCAACAGGGACAGCCGCGTTGTCAGCAGATGATTTGGGTCCGTACAGCAAAGCACAGGTGTCTGACATGGGGCCCGGGGTACGTCGGCGGAGGGATATCATCATCATCGTGGCATGTGATCACTCTCGCTCTTTCTTACCAATGGAAGAGGTGGTACGGATCCCATATTTCGGTCGCGCTCTCTCGTCAATTTTGGCGAGCTTGTTCTCTCGCCTGTGGTGGTGTGTGAGCTTGCCATCTCGCCCGTGCGTGGTGATTGTGTGAGCCCTCCCGCCCCTGCTATACCAATACAGCAGTACTTCTATCCAAAGGGACTGTTCGGCTTCCCTACGGAGCCCCCTTGACCCTCCCCCTCCCGTACAGAAAACAACTGTTTTCATCTGTCGGGTTCCTGGTGTGACCGTTTGCTGCCTCGTCTGCTGTGTGTTTTTGTGTTTCTTCGGGAACTCACAAGAAACCCACGGGTAGCCTTCCCTACAGCGGCGGGCGCTCAGACCCGAGAGAGATGGGAGAGACTGGGAGGGTACGCGTGGCTGTACGCGTGCGGCCTCTACTTAGCTTCGAGAAGACAGAGAGATTAGGAGAGTGCCTGAGCTGCATCCCCCAATCCAAGCAGCTGTGCGTTGGCGACGGCGGGGACAACGGGCGAAATACCTTCACGTTCGACTTTACCTTCCCGAAGAGCTGCGAACAGAGGTCTCTCTACGATGACTGCGTCGCTTCCCTGTTGGAAGGTGGGACAGAAAGCGTGTGCACTTCGGGTGTTGGATCAGCCTTTGAAATCGGCCACCGCGATTTTTCCTCTTGTGTGTTGCACCTGCTGTGGTAAGCCACCCTCTCTATCGTCATGTTTTCGGCTGCCTCTGTGTGCAGCTTGTGTACGTTGAGCTTGCCTTCGACCCTTGCCCGTGGTGTTTGTCTCGTGCCCTGTGCCACTGGGGTCATCACAGTAGGTGTTTTTCATGAGCTTGCGAAGGTGATCCTGTGGTTAGCTACTGCTGTTGCCGGGTAGCAAGAGTCTGTGCTCGCTGTGTACGGGCGAGATACAGGCAGAACAAGCATCTCGCTGCCATCTACACTTTGTTGTACCGGACATGCTGAGCGTACAGCAGCAGCACCCCCGTACAACTCAAACCTAGGTTTGTCAATAGGGACGATGCTGTGCGCCATTGATGTGTCCCATCATCTGTTCTTTTTGTCAGCAGAGACCATGAGAAACACATCTGAGTGCAGTTGGTTAGATGGCTTCCCACTACTGCTGTCCGCTGTAGTCTATACCCAAAGGTACGGAGATCGTATTGTATAATATGCATACCGCATTCAAGAGTTACGGAGATTGTTCGGCCTTTCCCCTCACTTTTGTATGTAGCCGTCGTGGCTTTTGATATGCTATGCATACGGTAGTACAGTATTCGCCACCCTTGATCCCTCATTCTTCAAAGGCCGCGCATCTAGCAGTGGAACCCATGCTCGAGCGCAGTTTTTTCAGCAAGTCGCTTCCCTCAAGCAAGAAAGTGTTCCTGTTTTCCAGGTTTCAGGTCACGTTTGGACGAGCTATTATTAGATTACATCAGTGTATAGACTCGAAATAAGTCCAGTACCCAGCCGGTTTTCCTCCACTTACTGAAAAGACTCCACCACATCCCGTTCGACTGTGGGTATATCTCGAATGGGTAGTCTTTCTGTGCGTGTATTTATTTCTCCTTAATAATAATCTATTATTTCAGTAGGAGTCGGAGAGATGGCACCCCCGTGTTAACGTTGTTATGAAGCGTGTTTCTCCGCAACTAGGGGGTGCGAACACTAACCGATGCCTCTTAGGAATGCCCTCGACGAGATGTTTCAAAAACTACCCTTTTCGGCAGCGGTACCCCCTTGGTTGTGGAGAAACACGCTGTAAAAAACGCGATCACAGGGGTGCCATCTCTCCGACATTTACGGTGGTGGTGTTTTTAATGTCCACAGCCCCTCTGCTCACGGCGTGGCTTCTCGGTGGCGTTTCGCCCCACCGTCGAGCACAGTCAACACGGGCATACTTGTAGGACGACAATGTTGCCGTGGCGCCATCGCAACGCCGCGACGGGACCAAGCAGTCGGTGCTCTGACGTCTGTGAACGCCAGAACCAGCCATCCAAACTCGATGTGTTCTCATGTCTCACTCTACATGCGTATTGCACCGTGAGCTTGGGCCAAGAAACACCTCCCCCGCTGCCTTATTGGCAAAATGTGCGAGGTGTGCCGCTGCTCGGGGTTTCCCAACAAGTATTGTAGGCGTTTTTTTTGTCTCTTATGCCTCACTACCCGCTCACCCGTTGCTTGGCTTTGCTGTTCGGTCGCTTCTGACGCAGCCTTCTTCGAAGGGTTCAATGCCACCATCCTGGCGTACGGTCAGACCGGCTCGGGCAAGACCTACACAATGGGAAGCGCCAGCAGCCTGAGGTAAGCTTTCTCCCGCCCTGGTATTCGTGAGTCCTGTCCGTGGGGGGGCTTAGGCATGAAAGTCGTAACACGAAACCAGCTGAACTGCGCGCCGCCAGGTTATTTGGAGTGCCGTTGTGGGAAATTCTTTCTCCCACAGCACCGTGAAAGGCATGTACCGTAATCGTGCGAGTTATCGCACCCCCCGCGTTAGCGTTTTTGTATAGCGTATTTATCCACAACCAGGGAGGTATCACCTCCGAAAAGGATGGTTTTGGAAACATATCGTCGAGGACTTTCCGGAGAGGCATCAGTTGGTGTTCGCACCCTCCTCCTTGTGGAGAAATACGCTGTAGAACAACGCTAACACGATGGTGCGATCACACGCACAGTTACGGGAATCTGTAGCTCTGTGCCTTGTAGATTGTCCACCATGCATGTTTGGATTATTATCACCATCTGAGTGCAGGAGGTACTACTACCGCCAGCGCTTGCGTTTCACCGTCGGTTGTATTTTCGACGTACTTTTCAACGACCTTACCAGGATCGCCGAGGAGGAGCAGGGCATCATCCCTCGCGTCATCACCGGGATGTACGACCTCTTGAGAGAGGCGCTGGAGGAGAGGCCCAACGTCTCTTACTCTGTACGGTGCCAGTTCCTAGAGATCTACGGCGAAGAGATACACGATCTACTAGAGCCGGCCGGTTCCACCGTGACCATTCGCGAAGGGCAGAATGGAGAGGTCAACGTGCACGGAGCTAAGGAGATGCTGGTCAACGGTGCTGAGGTATGTATGGGGCATTCAACCTGCGAGGTTGTGTAGGGTGGGAGGCATGTTGGCCTACGCCAGCGGTGCTGTGTGGTTTTGCGGCAGACAGCTTGTGATAGCTTGGTTAGCGTGCATGCCATGCACGTGTACAGCAGTACGCCCGCCAGGCTTCGTTGCTCCCCTCGGAGTAATCCTGTTGCACCTGCCGTCCGCGCCGAACAATACGATCGGGTCGGTGTCGGCGTTGCGGTCCAGGAAATGGCGATGCTGCTGGAGAGAGGGTCCCTCTGCCGGACCACGGGTTCGACGCTGATGAACGCACACTCCTCGCGATCCCACGCCATCTTCACGGTACTGTTGGAGCAGCGCATCCGGCCGGAAGGGGAGGCGCCTGTCGCGGATGAGAGGGTAAGCACGCCTCTCCGTGAGGGTTTGCGTTTTCGTGCGATTATCTGTCAGGGTTAGTTAGGCGTCATTTACCCGTCGCCGGGTGCCTCGCTCGGAGCGGTTCCACGACATGAACTCAATGCCGAACAGGGCATCATATCTTCTTTTTTTTGTCGAAAGCCTGCCTTCCGTGTTTCGGAGGATGTCGTCGTACGTCTCGGACTGAGGAGAGTGGACTATCGCCTACTTATCCCGCAGGACAAATCCTAATAATCGCTCTGTCGTTTGCTTGTTGTTGTTGCCTGTTGCTGCTGTTTCTGTTGGAGTGGTAATGTTGGTTGTTGTATTTTCGCTCATGCTGCTGTGGCTGCTGGTGGTGATGGTATTTTGATTGTTTTTGTGTCCATTTGCTGCTGTTATTGGCGGTGGTGATTGTATTGACACTACCATCTTAGTCGGGACCTCGTCCTGACCTAAATGTTGCCGGCAGGTGGACCCGGATGACGTGGAGATCCGTCGTTCGAAGTTTCACTTCGTTGACCTGGCGGGGTCTGAGAGGGCGAAGAGGACAGGGGCATCGGGTCAGCGTTTCAAAGAGGTAAGTGCTTGCGCTATGGCACACATGGGGCGGTGGGTAGCTTGCTCTTTCTTTTCTTTTGCGCTTGGCCTATGTGCCTGTAGTTGGTTTATTGTGATGCAGCATCGGCGGCCAGGTAGGCATGATACTGAATTACCTCCAACAACCATGCACGCCATTTGTATGCGAACTCGTGTAAGCTGACAGCACGTTACTAGCACTGCTGCCGTGTTTTCATCACTGCAGTAGAGTTGGGATGGGGTAGGCTCCGCTGAAGTCAGCGGTGTGGCAGCCAACGTATAATCAAGCCCAACACCTGCTCTCTACCCCCGCCGATAATTTTGCTCCTGTAACTTGCTGTACGCTGAGGGTTTTCCCCCTTTGGTATCATGCCATGGATTTTTTGACTGACATTCCCAGGGTGTGGACATCAACAAGGGGTTGCTGACGTTGGGTAATGTCATTAGTGCCCTCGGAGACGACACCAAGAGAGGGAAGGTCCACGTCCCCTACCGGGACTCGAAGCTGACGCGCATGCTTCAGGACTCGCTGGGCGGCAACAGCCAGACCCTCATGATCTGCTGCGTCTCTCCCTCGGAGTCCAACATGCACGAGACCCTCAGCGCGTTACGGGTGAGCGTCGCCGGGATATTGTAGACGTCCGGGTTAGAGTGGAGACCCGTCCATGCGTGGCCACTTGTGGACAGGAGGCTGTTGAAACTCGCCCGCGGCTTGGAAGTCGGAAGTCAACTTTGTTTCCAGTTTCTGGTTGAATGGCTGTCCGACTTGTGTCTTTACGTAGTTCTATAACTGTGATTTCAACGTTACGCGCCACGAGGACACGCCATGCCTTTGTCCTTGCTTTTTTTGTCAGCCTTTTTCCGCTCGTTGTTGTAGTCTCGTGTTTGTACCCTTGACTACCGTATATGACACAAGATAACACACCCCCTGAACCAATTTTCGAAGCTCGATTACGCAACGACGGAGAGGATGTATAAATAAAATATTTTTCGGAAAGCTCTCGACGAGACAGCTTCAACGCCACCGTTTTCGGCGATGCGACTCTTTCTTTTGTTGAGAAATCGAGATTTGAAAATTGGTCCAGGGGGTGTGTTGTCTTGTGTCATTTACGGTATCCGTCGTCGCTCATACACGTACGTACATTCATTCGTACACCCCCTGGGCGTCGTCGGTCGCATGCATGCATGCAGTACGCGAACCGCGCTCGTAACATCCAGAACAAGCCGGTGGTAAACCGCGACGCAAACTCGATGGTCATCAACGAGCTTCGGGAGAAGGTGCAAGCCCTCGCGGCGGAGCTCCTGCGGATACGCTCGGGCGGCGACGGGGGCGGGGAGGGGGGGGGGGGGGGGGGGNGGGGGGGGGGGGGGGGGGGGGGGGGGGGGGGGGGGGGGGGGGGGGGGTAGGTGACGTGTCCGCGGAGACCCTCCGAGAGCTGGCCGCGGCTTCCACGCCCGCCCGCCAGTCACCGAGACCGCTCGCACGGGCGAGCTTTAGCCGGTCGGGGCCGCTGGACGCGTCCGTTCCCGTGCAGCGCGAGCTGACCATGCTGCGGGCGCGGGTAGCTGAGGCGGAGGGCGAGGTGGTACGCCTGACGGAAGAGACGAAGCTCGCACGGAAGCGAGAGAGCGACAAGGACGATGCCCTTGCCGGGGTCCGTGCCGAGCTGGACCTCGCCCACGAGGCCCTGAGGGGGGGAACGGGGACCGACCAGCTCATGCTAGACATCGCCGAGGCGGCGGAGGAGGGGGTCGGGGACAGCAGCGATGCTGCGGCCGCCGCCGCGTCGCTTGTCGAAGCCGAAGCCCAGGAGGAGTCTACGGGGGAGGAGAACATTTCCCCCAAGGCCAGACTGGGCGGGGTCCTGAAGGGATTTTTCTCCGGGTCCGCCGGATCGACAACGCGCTCCAAGTCGCCCGGCAGCTGTAGTAGTAGCGATGCCCTTGGGGATGGGGGCGGTACCCAGAGGAGGCCGGAGGGGGAGGCAAGCGGGCGGGAGCCTTCTTCTGCCGCGGGTGCACCGAGGAGGGCAAAGCCGGAGGCAGCGGCGCGGGAGAGAGCTCTCGCCGTGGTGAAGGATTTCCACCAGCGCATCCAAGCGCTGGAGGGCAAGCTCCACGACTCGGAGAGGCAGAGAGCGGCCCTAGAGCGGCAACTGGTGCAGAGCAGCGGCGGGGGGGCCGGGAGTGGAGCTAGGGGGAGCGGGGCGCCCCTGATGGTCGGGTTGTCGGCGAAGCTTGCGGCGGCGGCGGCCGGGGATACCGGCGAGCTCGGCACCGATGCGGTTGCTGAGGCCAACAAGAGGCAAGTTTCTCTCCGACCTTTTCGTTAACGCTCTGAACCTATTATGGATGGCTGTTTTGTTGTGCTTTGAGTATTTTCAACTGCTGTACTGCAGCGGCATCTCGTTTTAGCTGCTTGTGTGCTGCAGCTATATCTCGCCGCCTCACCCTGTCAATCGGGTTGTGCGGGGGGCGAGGTGGTGGTTAGTGATTGGAATTTCGGGCTTACGGCGCGTTTGCAAATGGTACCGCAGCAGTGTACATGCTGCGAGAGAGAAGGTGTTGGTACCGCAGTCACGTCATCGGGCAAGCAAAGGGCAGCGGTTAGTACTGCTGTAGTTTTTCGGTTATTCCGCACCCCTCTCAGTCTTTCTCCGTCGTGAGCGTTTCCCACCAAAGCGGGGCAGCGATACATAGGTTTAGCATATCCCCGAAATTTTCCCTAGCACCGACTGTACCCGCGCAAGTCTCCTTGGGACGTGCTCGTGGTACATTACCTCTTGCAGCGTTGCCCCTGCCCTCTCCACCGCTGAGTAGACTTCCATCACTTTCGCGTGCACGCAAGGCGCATGCCACCACGCTCTTGGACGAATCGTGGAAGAGTATTTTCTTTGTTTTTGGATGCTTTGCACTCCCCCTCCTCCTCCTCCGTTGGGTAGTCTAGTTGCTGGACACTACCGTTACGATGAATCATGAATCTTGTGCTTGACTCCAGGCTTGCCGAGGAGAAACGACGTAGAGATCAGCTCATCAAGAGGCTCGGCGCTGGAGGCGAGGACGGCGCGGGCGGCGTGAAGGCTGCCGGGGACAGCGGCACCAAGGTCCACGACGACGAGGAGGACGATGAGGACGAGGATGATGAAGATGAGGAGGAGGACGAGGACGAGGGGCAAGGAGAGGAGGACGGGGACGAGGTTGGTGCTGCGGGGATGACGCGCCTGAGCTTGGGGTCCAGCGTCGTTACGGGACATGAGGAGGAGGTGCGTCCGGTTGCATACCGTCCAGTCGATCGCTTGTGGAGGGCCTGGACTAGCACATAACATCCTCTTAAGCCCGGTTTCTCTTGAACTGTATGCATGCTATCAAATTCACCTATCTTGTTATCAAGGCCGAGGCAAGCCGCTACTGTTGCGCTTACTCCCAAACCCGTGCCTCCCTCCTCAATTGTGTCTCTTAAACAGTAGCGGCCACTCGTACGCGATGGCTCTTACACCGTACCCGCCACTGTTTTACCAGCACGCAAACAGCGACGAGTATCTATAGACATTCAACATGATGTCGACACCGTCTGTTGTTGGAGAGACGCCGCCGCACTTGGTCGAAGATATGAAGGCTCATGTCGTTTATGCTGCTGCTGCTGGTCGTGTGGTGCCTGTTTTGTTGTTGCAGGAGCGAGCGTTGCGCCAGAGCGAGACCAAGATCAACGCGGAGCTGTCGGACCTGGACAAGAGCATCATTCTCAAGGAGGCATTGCTAGCGCAGATCAAGGAGGGCCAGGCCTCTTACGAAACCATGCAGCAGGTGACTTGGGTGGCGCTAATTTATACCTTCATACATGTAGCTCGCTTGGCTTCTTGGTAGGTGAGGTAAGGCTGCCGTGCATTCATGCCGCTCGCGTGAAGCGGCACTGCTGGTGCAGTGTGCGGTAGTTCGACCACTTGTACCACATTCCGCATCGCAGGGTGCACTCTGCAGAGAGCTAGTGCAGGGTTTTGTACAATAACCAGAACTTATTGTAGAATATGGGGTTCCTTCTGTGTCATAGCCAAGTGATGTGTTAGGGGAACGTGTGTGGCGCCCTCGCTACCTCTACGTGCCTCGTGTCTGCCCGTTGGGCGTCCTTTATTCATGTCCTCTTTGTATCTGTGTCGCTGGCACGCCCCTCCCCCCCTTTATTCGATTTCTTTTATGTCGCCAGCACTACGAGCACAAATTGCGAGAGATGGACGTGGAGGTTCACAGGCACGAGCAGGAGCACGAGCGGCTGCTGTCTGACTTGGCCAAGCTCGAGAAGCAGACGGAAGTGGCCGTACAGGTGCGATAATCTTTTTCACTTCCAACAGATTACCCTTGGCAAGCAGTCCCCGCTTCACAGGACACTGATGGTCTTGCTTTCAACAAAGTATCCTTACATTCGGGAAACTTCGTCATGGCGTATACTCCCCGATGGTTGGTTCATTTTGCGGAGCACCCTGGTTCTGAAGAGAGGGGTGTCTCGGGGCCCTCTGGGGGAGATGCTTGAACAGGGAGGAAGAGGGGCGGAGCGTGGGTACAAGGATGGGCACGACGGACACAAAACGATGTTGGGCAAGTTGGTGAGGTTGACAAGGAAGCTAAGGGGATCGGGGGAGGCGCCGAGGGTGGTGTAGGTACTGCCGTGGGCATATGTTGCGCTTGACCCGATCGCTGGTTCTTGCCTGCCAACTGCTCTGTGCTTGTTTTGCGTTGTGGAATGCTACGTACCACAATGCCAGTCGGAGCGCGAGAAGCTTCAGAAGCAGCTCAAGGATAAGACAGCGGCGCTGGCCAAGGCCAAGGAGCGGCAGAGCGAGCTGAGCGTGCTGTCGCGGGACCGGCGCATCAAGCAGGACACCATGCGGGGGCTGGAGACCGAGATCCTCAAGATGAAGAAAAATAAGGTGCGTGAAACCAAGCCTGAGTGCCGTATGGCATGGGCTATAACGTTATTGTTACGCGCTACCAGCTTCAAACATGAATCTGGTGTTATTTAGTAGGTATGTCCGTGGAAGGGATGGAAGATAGGATCGCTGCGATACTTCTGGAAATACATATATGTGGATGTATTTCGGGTGTTCCAATATCAGCGTTTCGTTCACCGGGCAGCAGGCCGAGAGGCGGAGCGGAACAAGTTGGATACCGCAAAGCATGAAAGGAGTTGTGCTGTCAACGTTGTTGTTGTTTCTACGACAATATGCATCGGTGAAGGAAGTGAAAGTTAACATCAATACGATGATGCGTGATTGGTGAAAGCGGTAGCATAAGCAGCAGCGGTGCATCCATATGAACACAAAACGTGATTCGGTTTTGTCGGATGTGTGTAGTAGCACCCAAAGATGGTTCATTTTCCGCTGCCGTTTTTGTTTATTTTTCCGTCGCAGTGTAGACGTTTTGGGAGGGGTTGTAGACACTTGCTCTTTGATCTGGTGGAAATTTTTGATGCCGCAATGCCAGATGCTTGGACGCCCGCACAAGCTCGATAACAGAGTGAGACGCGATGAATCTCGTGGAGCTTCACCGTAAGAAGCGATCGGCACTTTCGCGACGTGAACCTTGTCTCGCATCTCCAGGACTGACTCGCTTTCTCTTCCCTCGCCGTGTTCTCAATCGATCATTTTCCGCATGTTTTCTTTTTGTTTGCGGTGTGCCCTGGGTATCGGACGTACGTTTGGCGCGGCATGGGTTCTTGGATCGGTCCTGGGATTGGTCCGGGTTCAGCTTGACCTGCAGCGGCGGCTAGACTCGGAGAAGAAACGGCAGCGGGAGATCCTGATGCAGAAGTCGAAGGAGATAATGTCCCTCAAGCGCAGCGCCATGAAGTGAGTCTTGATGGGTACGGGTTGGAGAATTGCAACAGCAAAGCACCGGTGTTTTTCGGTTCAGCTCGTCTGACCGCTACATTGTTGGTCTGCCTACCGTTTCTATCTGCGTTGGTGCCCGTAGAGTGCTTGGCAGCCGTAATTTGTCCCCCCACCCAACCCCCTGCTAGTTATTGTCGTATTACACGCCTTCTGGGCTTATCATTTACAATCGCTGGTTTGTGCCTGCGTGATTTCCCTCCGTCAAAGCCCTTAGCCGGCGTCTTGTGCTACCGCGGTTGCCATCGGACCACAGCTTCCTTTGTACCGGCTGTACAACTGCCTCTACTTTTGCTTCCCCCCTACCTACCAAGAGAAGAATCTAATGAAACCAAGGATAAGGAGGGTATCGAAATGTACGTAATTTTGAAGGAAGGAATAGGGTTCAAGGATTACCTACATGGACCAATGGATGCAGGAACAAAGCTTAAGGTCAGATTCAGGACCGGGGACATAGGCCTTCGAGAACGTCGACGAAGACATAGGACGGTAGCCGACGAAGACGACGAGTTCAAATGTGATTGCGGCTCCGAATGCGAAGACCGTGTTCATGTAGTCGCGGAATGTCCGTTGTACAAGAAGGAGAGGGAAGTGTACGTGACTGAGCTGGGAAAAATAGATGGGGCGTACAGGGAGATGTTTGAGGCATGGAATAGAGAGGGTAGCTGTACTGGGGCATAGGAGGTGGGTTGAAAAGGCGGGAAGGGATATCGTTAGGATAGACAGACTAGGGAAGACATTTTTGAGCCACCTTTGGCAAAGTAGAAAGGAACGATTGGCCATCGGTGATCGGT